AAGGAAGGAAGGAAGGAAGGAAGGAAGGAAGGAAGGAAGGAAGGAAGGAAGGAAGGAAGGAAGGAAGGAAGGAAGGACAAAGCAGAGAGTAGGACACAGGAACGGATAGATGAAGACAGGTTAGGATAGAAAGGACAAAGAAGGACAAAGCGAAAGATGTTAAGGGAGAAAGGAAGGAGGAAATGAAAAGAAAAAACACACAAGGAATGAGAGGAAAAGTCGCTGAGGAGAAAGCAAGAAAATAGCAGGACATGAGCAATGAAGTGAGTAAGGGAATAATGAGGTGAATGAGATGAAAGGAAGGACTTATAGACATGAAGCAAGAGAGATTGAGAGCCTAAATGCAGGATAAAGGAAACAAAGACGGTAAGAAGTAAAGGCTTTAGAAAGGAATAACTAGATGGGGAATCAACTGTTAAAACACTTCTCTCCTTGTTTTATTTTCTTTTTTGGAAAAATAATGGAATCAATAACATGCTCCAGGAACCCAGTGTACATTTAGTGGATGGAGTATAAAAAAGGACATTTTAGTGTTTAAAACTTCTTTAAATCTAATTTCATGTTGCGCAGGTTATTATTGGTTACAGTAGAAATTAGGTTCCTTCTACATTCTGAAGTAAAGCATCATGTGTTAAAACAGGAATCTCCCCTCCGATACCTTTGAAGTGACAGATACATTTAAATAAATACATTATGTTAAATTAGGATATGAAACAACTACTTGTAACTAACCAAAATGAAGCCACAAAGCAGAAGTTATTCTTAGCAACACACTCAGAGATCTAACAGAAATATCTTCTTCACCTCATTGTGACATTGCAGCTCTGATCGCACTAAAAAAGTCCAAAGTTCAGAGGTTTGAGGGTTTTCTTTTTATATATTTTTGCACATCTTTCTACAAGTCCCACCGCAGCATTTTAAATCAGATCAATATGAACTCTGTGCCACAAAAACAGCCTAACTTTGGTTTTTAGTCCTACTTTTCCAGGAGCTGAAGCTCTGCATATCTACCTGCAGCCAATATTTAGTAGTGGTGCAGATGGCTCCACATGTAATTCTACTGGATGGAGGGGGAGAGTTGATATTATTTCAATGGCTGCATCTGAAGTCCCCACATTCTGTTACTGTGAAAAAACCAAAACAATATATTCCTCCACCATCACCCTTGTTTGTATCATTGTGCATAAAGGCCAAAGATCCAGACGCTGGCCTTGTTTTACCTAAACTCTTAAGATCATCAGTTTGTTTGAATGCAACTTCATCAGAATGACCCCTTTTGCTGCCATATTCTTATTAAGCAATGCACCCACAGTATCAACATTCTGATTCATTACTTTCTACATAAGAATGTCAGATCTAAGAAGTGGTTGATTCTTGATGTTTGTCTGTTTAAGTCTCTACCACAGGTATTATGCCAACCTTTCCAAAACCTTCAAAACAATCTAAATAAACATAGAAAATGAATTTCATTAGTAGCAAATGAAAGCGGTAATCTATTTTATAAAAGCGTCCTCTGCATTTTTGCCCAACTGTCGTAAATAAAAAATTATACTGAGGAAAAAAAACAACCCAAAAAATTAAAGATAGAGTATTTGCATGGCACAACACTCCACTCACCAAATAAACCCTAGTCTTTGAAAAGTATTTATACTTTTTGTTCATTTCTAATAAAGAGAGTCACCTCTGATGGGAGATTGCTGCAATTCATGTTGTTTTGGTGAATGAGATCCTTTACTTCAAATTAGCTTTATATATTGACAGTAGTTTAGCACTGCAAGACAGATTCTCTCTAAAAAAAAAAGAAAAAAAAAGAAAAGCTTAAATCTGACCAGCATTGCGCAAATTACAATTAACCATTTGAACCCATTATGTGTTTGAGTCAATAACAGTCCTTAAAGATTCCCATCCAAGCTTATAACCAAGAACAGAAAAAAATGTTGTGAACTCTGCATTAACAGCATCTTCACCCATTCACACACAAACACACAGAGATCTGTAGATGTAACGTGACAATAAGTGCAAAAGCTCAAGGGATGCTTAGACTTTGCAGTGCAACTATTGTCTAGGCAATCTAATAAATACATGACTTGAAAATGTACTTATAGAACCACAGTTTGAGACACAGGAGCTCCAATATGATAAAAAAAATCACCAAAAAAGCATACAAGGCTCATTCTAAAGCCGCGATTGGCCAAATGTGGCCAGAGGCTCAGGTCTAGGCTTTAAACAATGACAGTAATGTTTCTAGATAAAACGCATAGATGAAAAATAAAACAAATAAAATAAGCACTATATTGGTGGATGTTGTAGAGATCATACATCCTTTGCCCTTAAGATAAATCTAGAGCCAGCAAAGAGCACAACCAGGTGCTAAGTTTCCTTCCATAATAGTCGTTTTGGTGGCTTCGCTTGCCGAGTCGTAACAAAAGATGAATAAAAAATTTACGCCTGCATCTTTGTTATGAGCAACATAAACTTGCATTTTTTGATATAAAGTACTTCTTCAAACATTTAAGAACATTGTGGTTCTAACTTCTACATATTTATTCCAACACTCATAATTTTCTGGAGCGTTTCTGTGGGTTTAAGGCCATAAACGATACTGACTGTATAAGCTGGTTCTGAATTTGAGTAAACATGGTCATGCATCTTACCCCATTATTAAAGTATGTGTCTAATACATTCAGTCCACAGTCCCTCCTCTTCTCATCAGGAGCCAACTGGTACATGGCCTGTAGGAGGAAGCAAAGACATGTGAGCAGCGACGTTAGGCCACGTTTAGACATCAATCTTAATACTTCTCCAAATAAGGGGAGAGAGACAAGTCCAGGGGAAGACCCGAATACAGAAAAGACACGAGAGGAAAATAATGATAGGGGACGGTATCAAACAGCTAACCAAAAATCATACGTATATTCATCACTCATTACATTTGTGGCCTAACTGGATGGTGGCTTATGTCTCTGGTCAAATATGGCCGTAAGTGGGGCGATGGTCGGGAGTTTGGCTGCTTCCAGTCTCATGTTTTGTTTGAAAACAAGCTCTGCAGAGAGGAGGCAGACCCTGGGGTGCAACTATGCATCACAGCAACAGCCATTTGTTTTAAATTAACGCCAGTGTCTGAATATGAGTATTTTCCAGAGTGTGTGTATATCACTGCTTGTCTGCATACCTTGAACCCCCCAACATAGGTCATCATTAAATAGGCATGTCCCCCCACCCGCCCCGTTTCCTCTCTCGCATACCACCAGGGGCCTAGACACAAGCTGGGGCCTGTGTTTGCCTGCTCACCCAGGGGACCTGCCTCTGACGTTGGTCTGACCTCATGGAGGAGAGCAGAGAGGAAGAGGAGGGGCTGTGCTTTTTAACAGCCAAAGTTGCTAATCACCCTCTACACCCACCCGGCATGCAGGCAATTCTCCGTTTACCTCTCCCAGTCTCACCCAGTGGACAGACGGACAGCAAAAGGGAATATATAAAAGACAAGCTTTGAGATCATGGAGGGGGGATATATAAAGGCTGATATTTACTCTTACCACAGCATCCATGAAGTCAATGCATCGCTTCAGCTCCGGCCTGGTGTCACAGTACTGACGGAACAACAGCCGACCGATGGGCTGCTTCTCACATAGACTGGTGAAGTCTCTGTCTGTGGAGAGAAACAAAGAGATGTCCAGTAGCTGCAAGGTTCTGGGTGGTCCAGGTAACCTCTGAGGAAAATGACAATCAATACATCTCAGCTGCTAAACCATCTTTACGCTTTTGTTCTCTCAATGTTTGTGGATCCCATCTTGTCCAACAAGCTCAACATTACAGCTCTGCACGTTTAGCTTCATGTTTTATGGGAGGCCTTCTTATCAGATACCTGCACCATTAAACTGATTTCCGTCCCATGGGAGGAACAACAGCTCTTCTCCAATGCTCATGAGGTCACCCACCAGACCGAGGAAGCTTATCCCAGCTGATCCACATCTCATCTCGTTAAAGCAGCTACTTTTTACTGAAATACAAGTGATAAAAGCATATGGCTACAGTGGCATAGGATACAGGAGGGTAAATAGGGTAAATACGATCAAGTAAAATTATATGACTGGCATAAAATCAAATACAAACAGCATAAAAATAAAACAACAAGCCGGTCCCATCTAGGCGTAATCGGGAGAAAATGACACACAAATTGTTTTGGTCGCTGTAACCGCAGAAAATCCCGCTTCATAAAGATAGGATGTTATAGATATGATGAGTCTTGAACTGAATTATAACCTGTGTCAAGAAGAACAGATGCACCGACTGATGTAATTGGGAGAGAATACCGCATTTTTTAAATATATTTTTCAAAATAAAACATCACTCGGACTCTGATCGTCAATAAATTATATATATATATATATCTATATATATATAGATATATATATATATATATATATATTAATGCTGTCAAAATTATCACGTTATTATCGCGTTAACGCGAGGCCATTTTAACGGCGATAATTTTTTTAACGTGAGATTAACGCTATGTGGTTTTATGGTACAATTTTCCAAGTACATCCCGCTGCAGCCTGCGGGAAGGCGGGGCTATTTTCCCCCAGTGTATGCATTTCTCATAGGCTTCAAGAGCGGAGCTCCTCAAGGAAAAAAGACGCTCATACACTGGGTGACGCTAGTGCCTTTTCTTTAAGCCCCACCACCAACAAACAAGTTGAGTGTCTGGTAACTAGTAGCAACCTGAAATACGCTGAGAAAACTGATTACTGAGGTGAAATGGAATCTGCTACAGCTCTCTTGCTGTCTGTGTATGCCACAGGTCGGTATCGTGTGTGTGTGTGGGTGGGTGTGTCTGTGTGTGGGTGGGTGTGTGGGTGGGTGGGTGCTTGTGTGTGTGTTCTCATTTTTGTTAAGAGGCTGAAAAGTAACTTTCTAGAGCATAGACTACCTCCATCTAGTGATGTCGCTCTATTGATTTTGATGTATTGATTGAAAATTGTTCATTATTACCTTGGTTAATTAACATCTAATGTTAACTGTACTACATTTTATAGCAGTAGGGTAAAATGCTTGTCTTTGTTCAAAAGACTGTATTAACTGTAAAGACTGTCTTTTACATCAGCCTGTTTTCAGGGCCTTTTTTTTGGCTACATATTTGTTATTTTTTGCTACATGCCTCCCCATCTTCTTGCCATATGTTTCTATGGCATAAACCAGTATCTGTGACCTGTTTTCATTTTAAAAAAAGAACATTGGCACAAACCTAGCCTGTATGTATTTTTTGTATGTCATCGAGAGTATTTAAATGATTTTCAATCAGAAAAAAAATTTGCGATTAAAATGCGATTAATCGCGAGTTAACTCAGGCATTGATGCGATTAATCGCGATTAAAAAAATTTAATCGATTGACAGCACTAATATATATATATATATATAAATATACCAAATGACCGACGGACCGGTACCGGTCCGCGGCCCGGTGGTCTACAGCACTCCTTGGATTTGATAAAGCTACACAAGTAGAGCCCATTTTAATTGTTTTTACTATCAAAGGGTCCATATCATGCAAAATCTAACTTATACTGTTAGTCCTTCATAAGAATCATGCACAGAGTGGTATTTTGTTTGATTCATGCATGTTAGAGTAATCAGGAGACCTCTGGTCTCTGGCCGGCATTGCCTCAAATCATGATCTACATAGAGCTATCATTACCCCCCTCTCGTCTTGACTGTGCTGCATCAGCAAGTGGTTAAGTATAAAAATTGCAGCAAATTTGTCTAGCAAGAGTTTAAGTTGTAGAAAAATGTTTTTCGACTGCTAGAGTTCCCAGACTATGTTTAGCCATCCTGAAGAACAACCTAAACGCCAGAGCGGCATGAAACGTCTTGAAATGAAGGGCTATATGTGGGGTCAGGGACTAATGCTGTACAACAAGGTCTGGCCCAGTTTAACCCAAAGGGGTTTTATTAAGTCAAATTCTAGATTCTCACACATCCACGTCTACATGAAGGGGCGATCCGTAAACGTTACCCACTATGAACCACTAGAAGCGTTTGTTTCCCTGATCCAAAGGGGCTGAGGAGGGTGAATGCTGCCCTCCTGACTATCCAATCTCGAACAGGGGATAGGTTTTCTTTTTCAAAACGCCTCAGAAACCAAACAAACCTGTATCCATGTTTTCAGTTTGCATATTAGCCTTTTTTCCCCTGTTTTAGAACCAACTGTCACTTTGACTCACATTTTCTGAAAAATGAGGAAGACTATGCAGGACATCTTCAGCACCAACCCACGTTCAGGATAGACTCAAACACACCCATACACATCAAATACATAGGGGTGTAAATCACACCCATCATGGCGATTCGATTCAGTATCGATTTCCTGACCCAACGATTAGATCATTTTCGATACTCAAGAATACGCCACGATAAGATTTGATTTAGCTCTTTTTTTTTTTTTTAGCTTACAGGCTGGATAATGTTTCAAATTTGAAATAAATCAATAAAAGCTGTAATATCGTTATGCATTTTATTTGAGAAAAAACAGCAAATAACAGAAGTAGAAAAGTTGTACTCCACCTAGGCCTATTAAAACGTCATTCACTGAAAAATAATCATGCCCCTACGCTATAGATTCTGAAAGGCTTTGCATAAAAAAATACTGCAATGAGTGCAATGCAATACTTCGGCTCCAGAGTGTCGACGTCCCGCCCCCTCCGCAGACACTCCGCTGTACCTCTCTCAAATTGTAGGTGACCACAGACAGGAGGTCGGCTTGTTTTGTTTTTATAACCGCAATTGCGGAAAACAACTTGTGAAGTTTGACCAGCTAGAAGATCGAGGTGCGCAAGAACACTGGGACCCTTTTTCCACCTGGATACCTGCTATTTTTCGTTGTTATATCACTCCCTTGTCGGACAAACTTGCCCCAACTTCCTCTCCGCCTCGGCAATATCTAGACCTACAGCGTGTAGCGCAGACCAAGCTGAAAATTTAGCATAAATCAAAAATGTCTGCGTCAAGCTCACTGCGACACACCACTGCAGGAGTATAACCAGGAATGTAGGTAGGAGGGCTAAATAGGTTTAGCGCCACCGCAGCACGGGAGCCCGGGGGCAAATAGATAAAAATAGACCGGAGGAAAAAAAAAACAAACATGAATCGCTACTCTTGCGGACGTGTCGCTGCATCGGATCGTCGGCTGTTGGATCGATGGATCGATACAAAACGATTATTATTTACACCCCTACAAATACACAAACCTGTGTACTTGTAGAATTATTGGACACATGGTCAGTATGAGAAGTCATGGTGTTGCAACCAAATGGAAAACCATTTATAAAGTAATCCTTTTTTCTTTAATTTATAAAACACATCCTCCCCTCTTCTTTGCAGCTCAGAGCCCCATTTTAGACCTTATCACTACAGGTCCAACACTGCAAACAGGTGACTGAGAAGAACCCAGTTGAGACTTTTATTGCTTCCCTATAAACAGCATGGCCGCAACGTTTTAAACCTGAACACAAAACTTCTCATTTGATGCTTTTTAATTGCATGAACGACACTTTACGCTTAGTTCTACTATGTCACATTCCTTTGGAGGAATTTCCCTTTTTGCATATAATAGGGGAAATTATATCAGTTTGGATTATTAAAGGCAGGCTAAAAAATTACACTCAGGCCATTTGTTTGAACAATACAGAACTTCCTCTAGGTATGCATGGGGAAAAAAAAAAGATGTGTGACATAGATGCATGTGAAACGCGTTTACTTTGTGTGGTTGTTTGCAGTAGGAACCTATGTACAAAACCATGATGAGATTTGAGGCTGTGAAGCAATGGCGTCAGGGTTTTAGCGTGTTCATAAATAGTTGGTTTTCTTCTCATCCTGGCTTCACTCAACAACCAACCTAGGCAAACTGATTCTCAGATGTGCAGCGGATCTCCTTACTGGTTCCACCAACAGGCCTCAGACTGGAGCAAATTAGGGTTACAAAAACACTCATTTCTGCTCAGTTTAATGCCTAAAAAGAATAAAACATTGAGTGGTTAGTGTTTATCTAAAGCAGAGTTTGCTTTAATCACAAAGGTTTATACTCAACCTCATTCGGTCTGAAAGCGACGACAGCTGGAAACCAAATATTTACCGATACAAACAGCAAACCACAGCGACTTGCTGACTAAAACCCTGAGAAAGGTTTCTGCAGCCGGTTTATTCTACCTGATGAGAAGGAAGAGCACAAAATACTGATATCTGAGATTAAATTTAGCCTAAACTCAGCATCTTTATTACATTGGTAACTGCCTAATTAATAAATGATTTCCCTTATTATAAATTCAGAGCTTTATAAAAACTAATATTGCTTTGACTTTATATAATTTAAAACTAGGAGTGTTGGCCTAGTGGTTAGAGCAGTGACATTGTGCTCTGACAAGGATGCAATCGGGTTCGTCCCCACAGCCTGGGCGCCGCACAATGGCAGCCCACCGCTCCCCACGGGGATGGGTTAAATACAGATTACAGATTATTACATCATCCCTTTTAAGTTATATTGAATATTTTTTGCAATAACTAAAGGCACATCTAAGGATATATATATTAAGTCACAACCTTTAACTCTAAAAATTAACCAAATATCAGGAGAATCGTAGACCTTCACCGGTCCTGTTCATGTAAAGCTAAAACCCTCATATGAACAGTTTGACGACGTCCAGAAAACCCTCTATTTAAAGCGATGGGTTGAGTGTCTCCAGAGATGACGATGATTTGGTTTTGCCTTGAGCCCAGAACACAAGCAGATTATCTTGAGAAGATGTTAGCTAAAGCATGTAAGGCAGAGACTCCTTAAAAATGGAGAGGAAGAAGACAAAGAACATCTAATCCATGTTGCAAAAGACCTTCATTCCGTAAAAGTTTAAAAAACAATCGACTGGACTTGTTTTCCAACATTTGAAGACGTTTCGCTCCCTCTCCAGGAAGCTTTCTCAATTCAAATGTCTGGAAGGCCTTGTATTGCTTGGAAACATGCAAATGGAAACCGATGAGTGGGTCGTTTGGTTCCATTGTTAGCCTGTGATATCTGAAACCTGTCTATGATTCTGAAGGTCGGTCATTAAAGGGGGGGGATTGTCGTTTAACGACTGACCTTCTAAAATTACAGTTTTAGAATGATGATGAAAGATTCTGGCCATGACCAGGAGGGACTGGTGGACTTCATAAAAAGGACACCATGAGAAAAGAGAATATTGGAGCAACAACATGAAACATCAACCAGAAAGCCAAAGCTCGGGCACAGATGGGTCTTCCAAAGGGAAGGTGGCCATGATCACACTGACAAAGTGGCTCGATCACAATAAAGTAACAGCTCTGATTTTAGAAGTTTTGTAGGGAGAGCTGAACAGTATAAACCAGGAGAAATAGCCCTAGAATTCCTCCAATCATTTGGGAAGTGGTGGACTGGTTGATGGAGACGTTAGCTCCCCGGGTTCCATTCAGTCACTCTGAAGGCTCCGCCATGGCAGCCCACTGCTCCCACAAGCTGCTCATCATCATACAGATCTTATCAGCCCAAAAACAGGGAAACCTTTATCTGATTAAACCCTAATGTTGACATTTCTACAAAAAAATGGTTCTCTACTTCTCCTTTTCTTTTCCAGTGATACTTACTGCACAACCTTCACATGTTCTAACGTTTGTTTCCATTTAACTGGTACACAGAGAACTGGGACCTGGCAACAATTACACTCGAGGACACATGAATGATTTCACTATGTAGATTTTCATAACTTCCTCTATAAACAAGCCATTTCTCTATAAGCAAAGCAGTTTCCTGGAAGACCAACCACTGCCGCGCACTGGAGCTGACTCAGAAAACACGGATGCTGAGTTAGAAACACCAGCTGAGGATACGGCCGCACACAGGCTTGAAGCAACACTCACCTGTAAGCACTCAAAGGAAGTTGTATTTCAGATGAGTTTTTAAAAAAAACAGAACATCCTACAAGTTTACACCTTTATCTGTTTGATTGGGGTTTATAAGCAGTAAATATCTGCCGTTATATCATTTGTGACCTGCTAAAGAAATAAAAGAGGAAAAGCTAAGCTGTTATCACAACTAACACTGAATTGTAAGCAACCATCAGAAATAAATTGTGCTTTTTCCTTTTTCACATAAAAGCTGTTAGATGACAATATACATATTTTTTATCAATTTTGTGGCAAATACCATAAAAATATTATATATAATTTGAGAATAGGATGGGGGATGACTTTACGAACATTATTGTATTTATCTAATAAAAAATTATTTGGTGGAAATTTGGACTGAAATAAATAGGGTGCTTTATCATCAACTACCACTGTTTTTATGAGCGATTAAGTGCCAAAAACAAACTCTTGTTTTTTTACTGCAGCATGTTATAAAAATCAAATCTCCACATTAAAGAGACATTTCTGTCAAGTCCTGACAAAGCAGTGCTGACAAGTGTTGGTGAGGAGTCACACAGGAAAATGAGAGGGAAGCATTAGAAAGTTGAGCAAGCGTAGGCAAGGCTGAGTAATTGTCTTTATCTCTGAACCGAGCTGCAGTTTCACCTTAATTAAAATCCCACTTTAGTAGAGCATGAAGCGTTTTGGTCAGACGACGATTGGACAGATAAGTTTGATCATTCTCTGTGAGCATGTATAGTCTCGTTCAAAGGTATTCCTACCTCTCAACACTGCAAAAACGATCTAGAATTAAGTAAATAAAATAAAGTGTATTTGCCTTTAATTTGAGCAGGGAAATAAGATGATCTGCCAATAGAATTAGTATTTATAGTCTTAAAATAAGATAACTAGATATAATGCACCTGAAATAAGACAGCAACATTGTTTTTCTTCTTATTTTAAAAATAAATCATCTTGTTCCATTGGCAAAGTGTCTCACTTTCCTCCTCAATTCAAGAACAAATGCACTTATTTCAAGAAAAAATTACTAGATTTAATAGATTTCCAGTGAACTGTTCTCCCTACAACTGTAATCAGAAGAGTCTTTGATTTGGGTTTCATCTTATATACCAATAGGAAGTAGCAGATAGCTGTGAAATAACCTGGTAGAGACAATCTTAAATTTTCTGCATTTTATACATAGCAGATTGATGATAACGCTTCATTTGATGGGACTTTATTTTGATAAAAAGGCATGATAAAGACCAAAGAACACAGCAGACCAATCAGGAACATTGCATTCATGTTTAAGCAGCAGTAGAGTACTAAATTATATCCCAAACCTTAAACGTCCTACTGAGCATTGCTGAATCTGTCACCAGAAAACGTAGCGAACATAGAACAGCTTCATAACAACCAAGACATGGTCGCCCACCTAAGCCACACAAGACAATGATCATCTTAGAGAAGCTGCCGAGGCAACCATGGCTACTCTGGAGGAGCAGCAGAAATCCACAACTCAGACACCAGAATCCATCCACAGGAAAACTGGTATTCATTCCCTGAAGTAATCTGTCCACTGTGATGGTGTGGAGTGGGTTAGGGTTTGAGATTAGCCCCAAGCCATGCAGCGGACACACTGAATACGTGGATTCAGGCGATCTGCTTAAATTGGGACTTGTGGCAAAGAAAACATGATGTGTGGCACCTCATCTTGAACACACGACCTCCATGATGAAACGAGGAAGCAGCATCATGCTGTGGGGATGCTTTTCTTTAGCGGTGACAGGGAAACTGGTTAGACTTGATATGATGATGGTTTGAGGTAACAGAGGGCAATTCTGGAAGAAAGCCAGTTAGAAGGTCCCTAAACATACAGCCATGGAATAACGTAAATCAACACAAAGAAGGTGCTAAAAAAAGGGTTTGTTAATGTCCAAGTCAAGTAGTGATGTATGGGAAGACTTTAAAAAAGCAAATCAATGATCTTCTTTATCCAATCTGGTTTCACTTGAGTTATTCTGCAAAAAATATATATATATATCCTTCTGAGAAGTGTAAAGCTTTTAGAAGGACACCCCAAAGAACCTGTAGCTGTAGTTTCAATTGAAGCTATAAAGTAGTTATTTAGTGGGAGGCGAATACAAAAACATGCCACATTTTTCCCAAAAGAGGAATAGCTTTGGACTATGAAATGAAGCACTATTTTTAGATAATTTCACTACTTCGTGTTGGTATATCACATTAGACCCAGATCAAACAAATGAGCCAAAGAGCCACTAAATGGAAAAGAAACTTCTAAAGGTGGTTTCTAAACACATTCAATAAGCCAATCAGGTCTGATGAAGGGTAGTGGAAGCAGGTTTGCTTTCATGCAGTGAACCAATATGATGATGATATGTGGAGGCTTGAAGCTGGCAGACAAAGTGGCAGCAACCCCTACAGTGTAATCTGGGTTTACTAAAACTACCACTTGCTTGTCAAGGCTAAGGTCAAATGCCTGATAATATCGAGACACAACAAAGACACTGCTATCAGTCACTTTACCACATCCTTGTGTGCACACATGCGCAGGTCTGCACATCTGTCAGTCTGATTACACAAGGGGGAATATTTTGATCTTGTGCTCTGCGCCATAAGGAAATTACACAATGGCAGCTATGAAATGCTGATGCATGGAAACTCCTACAGCTGGGGTGTGCGTGCCCACACAGGCACTTTCAGCCAGTTACTGGAATTATTTGCAAGGCTACGTGTCCTGATGGGAACGCGTCCCTTCAAAGTAGCTGAGAACTATGGGATTCAGGCGTTGGAATGGTTCGATATTGTGACGGATGATCAGGGATGTGTGGACAAGCTGACACGAAGCACAATCAGTGCAGAGTAGAGTGTATATACACCTACATGCCTTTCACTCGGCCCTGCTCTTATCCATCCTGTCCTTAAAAGATCTCTCCTGCAAATGTAAAAAGGCCTCTCCCTCCACGACTCTCCTCTTTAGCTGCTCTCTGAAGTGGCTCAAAGAGTGAAAGAGAGAGAGATGCAGATAGCGGTGGAGGGATGCATGGAGATAGAGAAGAGGGAGGGTATGAGAGCATGTGGGGGAGGGTAGCCCTGCAATCTCTGGCAGGGAGAGCTGTGACGCACAAGCAAACGCACAGGAGCAGCCACTCTGATGCTGGGTGGCATCCACACAACCCAGATTCTTGCACAGTGTTCTAGCCCAGAGGGCCGGACCACAGAAATCACCTATGATGGAGAGAAGGGGGTGGAGGGCAGGTTCTGATTTAACGTGTGAGCAGACATGGGTGTAATTTCATCTTTAATACTCTCACCGACCGTTTCCAGATCTCAGAATCTAACACATGCACACACCCAATTTCCTGAACCCCCCCTCCTCCTTTCCTTCAGCTGTGGGTGGAGACGGGTAGAAACAGGAAGGAAGTCCAATCCGAACTTCTCCCCTCCGAAATCAGACCCACCCCAACGAACATCCAACCCTGCTTGGTAAGTTTGCATCGTTTCCTCCCTCCTCATACCGATAATGCGGCGAAGTTCCTCGCATTGGCTGATGTGTGGGAGTTTAAGCATCTCCTTCCATTTCTTGCTGCGACCATTCCTCTTGCCTCCTCCACCTGAGAGGGAAAAAAAAAAGAAGAGGGGAGAGGATTAACGTCAGACAACAGGAATATCCAGCAAGTAGCTTTTCTTCAGCACAGGAGCAACAAAGGCATTCATCCAGGAGTGAGTGCAGCATGTGTATGTTTGCTCCTGCATGCGTGTCTTCAAGCAGGCTGACCTTGGTGTGACCAGAAACAGGGACAGCTGGTTCATCTCACCAGTCGCCTCTGTGCAATATGACAGAGCATGTGATGAAGAATGCTGACAGCTTCAAACATCATGGGGCTCTCACGCTCACCCCCCCTCCCCGTACCAAGTGGATCCAGGTCAAACATTAACCAAACTAACCCATCATTCATAGATTACCTCCACCACAAACCCACAGGTGGTGAGATTCCTTCTCAGAGTCAGTGAACCCTAATGTAAGGCTTGAATGACCACACCAGCATTCCTCAGCTGCAAATTAAAATGTCGTCTGGAACAGCAGCTGCAGTGTGTGTGTTTGTGTTTACGGTCCAAACCGACACCATTAATATACACCAACCCTTTTTCCCTGTCTGCAAGCATCTCTCAATAATCTGCTGGAATTTTGGCCCATTCCTCCAGACAGATATGGTGTAACTGAGTTAAATACAAAGACCCAACCACAGGATTGTCCATTAGACCATGATCAGCGCTTTGTGATGGACAATTTGATACCTTTCACCATCAAAAAGCTTCTTTCTACCTACAGTAATTATGTGCCATCTATCCCAAAGCTTATATCTACAGTCAAATGAAATAGTTTGGGCACCCCTTTTAATCTTAATTATTTTTATTTCTAAATATTTGGGTGTTTGCAACACTATCTATTAACTGATGGACACAGTAAACTTTCAGTATTCAATTGAGGTTCATTCAACTTCTGTTTTATGCATTAAAACAGAACTTGAAAGGTGCAAAAATGTGGGTACCCTAATCATTTTATTGATTTGAACACCCTAAACTACTTTTCACTGACTTACTGAAACACAAAATTGGTTTGATAACATCATTAAAATTTGAACTTCATAGCCAGGTGTAACCAATCATGAGAAAATGTATTTAAGGTGGACAGTTGCAAGAATCTGAAGATTTATCATGGGCACCTCAAAACAACTCTGAAATGATCTGAAAAGTAAGATTGTTCAACAGAGTCGTTCAGGGGAAGGATACAAAAAGTTGTCTGAGATTTTTGTCAGTTTCCACTGTGAGGAACACAGTAAGGAAATGGAAGACCACAGGGACAGTTCTTGTTAAGCCCAGAAATGAAAGGCCAAGAAAAATATCAGAGAGGCGGAAAAGAAGAACGGTGAGAATGGTTAAGGTCAACCACCAGACCACCTCCAAAGACCTGCAGCATCATCCTGATGCAGATGTCGTCACTGTGCATCGTTCAACAATTCAGCACACTTTGCACCAGGAGAAGCTGTATGGGAGAAGGATGCGACAGAAGTCTTTTCTGAACGCCACAAACGGAATCACTTGAGGTATGCAAAAGCACATTTGGAAAAGCCAGGTTCATTTTGGAACAAGGTCCTGTGGACTGATGAAACAAATACTGAGTTGTCTGGTCATAGAAAAAAAGGTGTTATGCATGGCGGCAAAAAAAAAACACACAGCATTCCAAGAAAAACACTTGCTACCCACTGTAAAATATGGTGGAGGTTCCATCATGCTTGGGGCTGCCAATGCTGGCACTGGGAATCCTGTTAAAGTTGAGGGTCGCATGGATTCCACTCAATATCAGCAGATTCTTGAGAATAGTGTTCCAAGATCCGTTACCAAGTAGAAGTTACGCCAAGGATGGATATCAGCAAGACAATGATCCGAAATACCGCTCCAGATCAACCCAGGCATTCATGCAGAGGATCAATTACGATGTTCTGGAATGGCCATCCCAATCCCCGGACCTGAATATCACTGAACATCTTTGGGATGGTTGGAAGCAGGTTGTCCATGCTCAGCAACCATCAAACTTAACTGAACTGATGGTTAAAAATCCCTTAATTCAGGAACTTATTAAAAGCTACAGGAAGCGACTAGAGGCTGTTGTTTTTGCAAAAGGAGAATCTACTAAATATTAATGTCTCTTTTTTGCTGAGGTGCCCATATTTTTGCACCTGTCAAATTTTGTTTTAATGCGTACTGCACATTTTATCTTAGTCCAATTAACCTTAATTCAATACTGAAATATTACTGTGTCCATCAGTTATTAGATATATCAACCTGCAGCAGCTGTTACAAACACCCAAATATTTAGAAATAAAAATAATTAAGATTAATAGGGGTACCCAAACTTTTTCATATGACTGTACTTTTCTATGTTAATGGATGTTGCATCTGTATTTCTGCTTGTCACCTTTTTTGTGAAGGAAACCGGTCCTGTCCGAAGCAAAAAAACTCACAGATCAAATCCCCTACACTTTTAAATGAGGGTGGGGATTTCTCAGGGTTACCAGCTTCACCCTTTATCCTCGCAATGCTTCACTCATTGTGACCGAATGACGCATAAACCTCTACCTCCGTTAGAGCATCTACAAACTGTAATCTAGACTTTATTTTCAGTATCATTTTCTCCCTCTCTGAGCCACCCTCCAGCTTATGTTGGTACAATGGTACTTACCAGTTTCAGTGACCTTCTACTTAAAGATCTATGTTGGTTAGTTTTTTTATAGCCATAACAGTGCAGGGTTCACATCTTCACAGATCTCCCCTCATGTTTATGTACAAATAAGGAGGTAAATGTGTTTAAAGACACAGACACAGTCATTGAAAGTCATGGTATCGGCATATTTCCGATGGTAGGAAGAACAAATGTCAGCCAAAGGGCCGATATTCTCATTACAAATGAGCGAATCAGCCTGATCATCAGCTTAATTAACCATTTTTTGTGTAAATACACCAGCAGGAACTCTGATTATCATTGTTTGAACACATGAATGTTACACCTTTAGGTATCTAAACACTGAACCCATTTTCAATGTCACACAAGCAACCCATTTGTTTGAATTGTTCCCTTACAACAACTTGAGAAGTTTACCTCCACTTAACTCAAATAATGTGACTTCAGAAGCTAACCAATCTAGGAAGTCGTAACCTTGACATTTCAAAACCTAAGAAATAGTAATATTACTCTTAAGTCAACTTCCCATCTGTCTTGATATTCTGGCTTTTGCAAATAAATTATGTAAACTGTAATTGGCCAACAACAGGAAAGATGGCTGCAAACCTAAATGTTTATGCATTTGCTCCTTATTGATAAAAACAAACATATGACATAAAATGTTCCTCGTAAGTATTTTGTCCTTGTTTTTAATCAAGTGCTGTTTTAGAGAATCTCTTTTCTGAAACACTGTGATACATTTTTTCATAATATAAATAGCAAAACCAGAAACAAATGGTTAATCATACTCCATGCAGGTTAAGCTTTATAAAAATCCAATATCAGATATTTAAATGAAGCTCTTTGAATGTGTACCCGAACAAACTAAAACTCTCTAATCTTTGCTTTCCAGTCCAGGTTTTATTTTGATTATTTGAGTATTATTTCTGATGCAGATTAGGAGGACAGAAAACAATAATCTGATTCCACCATAATCCAGCATGAAGTATCATGATAGGTTAAACCCATATTCATGTTGCCTCATATCAGCCCTTGTACTCCCCTAAATCGCTCAGTCCTGGTCTGTTTTGGGTTATTGTGGCACCATCTGTTGGGTCCCTTTGCTTTTGAATTACTACTACACTATAACCTCGAAAGTACACAGATGATTTTCGCAGGTTTTTCTGGGGTGGAACAAGAAAGCTGTATGCTTCCCATTACAAGTGAAAAACTGTGACACCTCCTAAAACATCTGGAACGTGTACAAAGCCACCATGGCAGGACTGAAGCGGTTTATCATGGCTGCTAGTAGCAGTGTTACCTTAACTTGCTTGTGGGCTTGAGACCCACAAGCAACAAAGGGAGATTTAACAGCCTTGGACTGGCAGCACTCCAAGTATCATTTAGGAACACACTTGGCTCTTTGGATACTTGTGTTGTTTCTGGTTGCAACAGAAACACTTTTACTAAGCAACAGCGATAAACAGTCCAAGATTCTTTTATGTAGTGTACATACAGCCATGATAATTCAAAGAAATCAGCATGTGCTGTGCTGCCAACAGGGGAAAGACACATACAGCTCCAAATTGCACATGTAGAATGGATGCCATTTAAATATTGAAACAAAAATAGCTGCAGACCTCAGATTCTCACCTCGGTCGTTAATCAAATTTACAGTAATGAGGGAAATTCCACTTTGACTTCTAAGTACCGGTATATCATTCCTGCTAACTGCTCCTTCTAAACAATGCTTTGGCAGGTTAAGATTATAGCAAAGCTCTATATGCAGGACTTTGATTTTAATTTAGGCTGTTTTTGAAGCATCCAACAAAGATTCAAGGGTATTATTTTTCTCATCATTAGTTTTCTAGCTTTGAGAAAACAGATATTTTGTTTTTAAAAGGATCTAGAAGCAGATGGTAAAATAAACCATCAATCATTATCTTCCACCAGTTCACATATAAAACCAGAGATTTGGTTCCTGAATCTTTAAGTTACCAAAATCTGTTGCACAAAGAGCAGGAAAATATCATACAGCTGTTCATATCTGGATTTCAAGAGCAAAATATTTTTTTTTTATTGCCGTCCAGTTCTGCATTAACCGACACTGCGGTATTTGCACATATTTATTATCCGTGGCTCGGAAAAGCTGTCACAAGAGGGTGCAAGGGTGGGCAGCGAATCATTTAAAAGTACACATTTATCAACCCTTACATTTCACGTGGATATTCTGAAACCAACAGCATCATATCCTCCAGAAACAGACCAGTCCAGTCATTCTCTGCGCTGCTGTGTGGGTTGAATGAAAGCTTATCAAACCAGCATACTCTAACTATTTCACTTCTATGTGCTTTCCATCTTCAAATAACAGGAAAAATTACTGTCTAGAGA